GGGGTGGGGGGGCGGCGGCTTCCCCGCCACCGCCGCCGCCACCGCCGCCGCCGGGCGGGGTGGGCACCAGGCCGAGAAACGCGTCCTCGTTGTCGGCGCCGTCGTCCTCGGCTCTTCTTCCCGTGGCGGTGTCGGGGGTGGGCGACCGTTCACGAGGTGCGGTGGCTCGCCGGGCGGGTGAGGGTGTTCGAGTGCTTCCGCCGCCACCGCCGCCGGCGGTGGTGGCGCCGAGCGTAGAGGTTGCGGCAGGCGACAGGCAAGAGGGAGCGGGGGCGGCGGCGGCGGCAGCGGTTGTGCCGGTTTCGGGGTCCGTTGCCGGCAAAGCGAGCTCGGCGAAGAAAGTGAGAGGGCCCTTGGGTGCGGTGCGTCGCAGCTACCTGCCGACGCACCGCCGTCTTGATCTTGCGGATATCTTGCCTTGCTTTTTGAGGAAGAGTTGCGGGCATACCCGATGCTCGCTATTCGCTATTCCTTCCGTCATTGAAAAATCCCACCGCTGACCGCGTTCGATGTGGCATTGGGTTTCCGTTTTCCATCAACGCTCTCGCCCTCCCCGCCCCCGAAGCATTTGGTTAGCCGGGATGCTTGATCGCCCGTGGCATATCTGGTTTGTCGCCGCACACGCAAGGATGACGATGACCGGCTTCTGGGTCGTCCTTGTGACTGACACGTAGCCTGGACCGCCGAAAACCCGGCACATCGTTCCGTCCCGGCATTGTAGGGATACGAGGTCATTGGTCTAGCGACTACCGCATGCGTTTACGTGAGCAAACCCCCCCCCCCCGCCCCAACCTATTTTTTTCAGCTGGTGTACCTGGAAGGAGGACACTCGGTGTACACGTGCTCCATGTGCCGCGCCCACCTTGCAACCCGCGATCACGTAGTCTCGGAGGTGAGTCGGTGCTCCAAGCGCCTGCGTTGTTCGCTGCCGGGCAAACCTGGTACATGGTGTTGTGTCTTCTGGGGGGGTGTCGAGTAGTGTATGGACCCGAAAAATCGAAAAAAATATTCCTTCCGGTGATATGGGTGTTTCCACGGTGTAACCCATAAGCAAGTACTTGTTCTGGTCCTCGTTTCCATGCCCGGTGTTCTCTGTCTCCCCCCCGCCCCCTCTCCCCATCTCTCTGTCTCTCTCTGTCTCTCTCTCTCTCTCCCCCCCCCCCTCTCTCTCTGTCCATCTCTCCTTAACTCACTCATTCTTGTCTCTTTCTCCTTTTTCTCTGCCTTGCTCTCTCTCTCTCTCTCTCTCTCTCTCTCTCTCTCTCTCTCTCTCTGTCTCTCTCTCTCTCTCTCTCTCTGTCTCTCTCTCTCTGTCTCTGTCTCTCTCTCTGTGTCTCTATATATATGTATATATCTCGTGCGTACTTATCGATTTTCGTGCAGTGTTTCCACGGGCACGGTGGGCGAGCGTTTCTGTTCGAGCGCTGCGTGAACGTCTCCACTGGGCGGCCGGAGGACCGTCTCCTCCTCACCGGAATGCACGTTGTTGCCGACATCTCTTGCAAGGCGTGTGGCGCGGAGCTAGGGTGGAAATACGTGAGTGCTGGCCGCGTTTGGCAGAGCCACATACTTGGCGCTTAGGCCGGGCTCTGCTGGATGACTTGCGAGCTGACAGGCTTGCCGCAGCTAGACTTTTGTGGGTGATGAAATCCCCCCCCGCCCCCCCGGTCACGTCCTTTCAAGTCACGTTGGAGCAATTGACAGAACTCGGCAAGATAGCAGTAGGTGGTGGTCCGTGGATCGCCTTCCCACGCCAACTATATCGCCTGCGCGGTGAGCTTACTCTCCTCGCCTCTGCGTGCTGCAGGAGGAAGCCGCCGACAAAAGCCAGAAGTACAAGGAGGGCAAGTTTATCCTGGAGAGGTGCGCAGTGACCCTGGAAGGCCGTAGCGGCGACGGCTACTACGGGTCGTCGTCGTCCGGGCGGTTCGGCGGGGCGGAGCAGCGCTGCGGGTCGAGCAGCATCATCGGGTGGGGTGCCGACAACGCCCCGTTCGCTGGCGGTGGTAGCCGCTGGTAAAAAGCGGACCACGGGCGCCAAGCTCGCGGGAGAAAACAGAGGGAAGCAAAAATCACCACCGGCCACGGCTCTGCCCTCCGATGGCGGGACGAGCGGGTGGCTGTCCCGTGGGGTGACTGTTCGCACACACACACACACCCTGTGGATATTTGCGTGCCTCCTTGTACGTAAAACACCCGTTCCACCGCGGCTGCAAAGCGGCATGTCTTGCTCGACCGGAGAACGCTCCCGCAGCTGAAACTACCGATTTACCCCCCACGGGTGGTTGTCGTGCCTGGTTACGATATGCCTGTCTGCAGGCCTGCAATGTTGTTTGTCCGAAGCTTTTTTTTGTCCATTTTTTGTTGTGCAGATTCTTGTCGGGACGACTACGTAGGCTCGGGACCCCCCCCCCCCTCTCCAGTGCTCATTGGCGGAACCCCCCCTTCCCCCGAGATACAGATCACATTATGCAGCCCTTCGCGCTGTTAGCTGTTCTCGGGACCCAAGAGACTGTAGCTGCTCTCCACCGTCGTCATCGTATGCGCTTGTTGTGCCGAGGCGACATCGAACTCGTATCGCTGTGCTCGGGGATATGCCCCCAACACTTTGATGGTGGAAACAAGTACACGTTTCGTTTTGTCCTTCATTCGAGGAGAGGTGGGGGGAAAATCTCGGGGGAAACCGATGAAGGCGATATCGGAGCCGGCGTTTGTGTTAGTTTTCAGAGTCCCACGTCCATGTACCATGCGTTGTTCGAAGTCCATGGTCGATTCGAGCGAAGCAGCAGTCACGTTTGATTGCCCCGCGTTTTTCTTTCCCCCGCCCATTAGGCACACGCGTTCGTTGAGGTGTGTGTTTGCCGTGGTCGCTGCCGAGTGCATGACATTTCGACGGACTGGACTGGATGGCCGACCACCAAGAGCAGCGGGAAAAAAAAACAAACGACGAGCCCCTCTTTTTTACCGGCCCAAGAGCATGTTTTTACGCCGGGTATATGTATTTTTTTCGTTTGTTTGTGTGCCGTAAGGATGGCTTGGCTGGTCGTGCGTACCTCGCCACATGGGGAAGAGAAGGGAAGCCGTCACGCTCCACAGGTGTTGTGCAGATGAGAGAGGCGTTGAAGAGAGGGGGGGGGGGAGGAAGCTGGGGGTATGCCCGCTTCAGAGTGTGAATGGATGGATAGGCGGGCCGCAAGGGGAATACAGATGGTTGGATGGATCAGCCCCCACCTAAAGAGGGAGGGAGGTCTAAGGGGCGTCCATGTCTTGCCGAGGAGGAGCAATGCCGGCGCTTCCAAGAGACTGTCCGCTCCCTGGGTGGTTGGTACCTTCCTTGCGCGGCGTTTCTTGTGGCGGCGGAACATTGTCCACCCCGCGCGCTGACCCCCGGGCCAATGAGAAGTCTAGTTAGACGAGTGCGTTGTTACGGAACGCGCTTCCGGGACTTGTGAATAGTATGTGTCCCCGCTGCCTCTGTTGTGTATTATTTTTCTCGGTAGTGATTCATGCCGTTTTACCTTGTTTTCATCAGGCCGAGCCATCTGAACAATTGGTTGGAGCGCAACACTCGGGAGGAGCGCTGCCACCTTTTTCGACGTTTTTTTTTGTTCTTTCTTCTTTTGGCCGTTGGGGAACCGTTCCCAGCTTCTTAAACGAAGCATATTTTGTCGAGAAGTGTGGCGAACCGGCCTGCCTGTATTTTCCGCGTCATGGATTGAATTTCCATGCTTGCGTGTGGTTGGAAGACGTGCTTTTTATTGTTCCTCGTCCTTCTTCGTCGGCATGTGGGCTAGGTTTCGCGCAAACAAGCGTGGTATGCTACGCAGCCGGGTGTATCTATACTCTCTTGAGTCGTGGGAGAGAGAGAGAAAAAAAAAGAGGGGATTCGGCACCGGCATCAGGGCCTTGCACAAGGTCTGCCGCATCGACAGTTGACAAAGCGGCATGTGGAGGTAGTACGCCGAGTTCGGGAGTGCTCTGTTTTTCGAGGGCACTCGCTCCTCTCTCCTTCCGCCATGCGCGAAAGCAGCAGTAAGCGCGTCGAGAGCCGGCGTCCACAGTCGGTCTGCATGATGGGTGGGTGGGGAGTAAAAAAGTGTGCATATTTCGTCGTGGTGAGAGTAAAGATGTACGATAGCGAAGCTCATGTGATGATCACGACGTGTACATATGCAAGATCGGTGTACCTACGGCATTATTGAGGTTGGAGAGTTTGTGGGGGGATGTGATTTGCATACGTGCGTGTTCAAGGCTTCGTGTCCAGCTTCCCGAAGCCTCCAAGCGGGGGCCCCCATCCAGTGATTACGACGTAGAATCAGTTCTTTGTGTCGTCGTGTCGGTCAATTTATTATTTCGTAGTCTGTCGCCGTCTCTGAGCGCGACCATTCCCCGAAAAAGTACATACATACATGAAAAACCAACGAACGCCGCAACATTCCAGTGCCGCCTTGCTATGTATTATGAAACGCTAATTTCGGGTCAAAGTCACCCAGTTTCTTGTTTAGTCGCTACCGTCCAGCGTGTCTCTGCCGTATAGGATGTCGTGTAGGATCCACCTCAATTATTTCTTTGTATTTTTCAGGGAAAAAGGGTAGAGGCTCGCTTTGGATGTTTTTTTTGGTACTTTGATGAATATTTTTTCAAGAATTGAGCCTCTTGTTCTCTATGCAGATTTTTCTTAGTTACAGGCGGGTACCGTATCGTGTGGGCTTGAGTCATTTCTTTCGTCGCTGGGGGTATGGACGGGGGGGCGTAATGGTTGTCGAGGGTATCAGAGTGTAGGTTACTGGTCAATGAACCACTTTGTCTTGATGCATAAAGGTATGGAGCGTTTCAATACTGCTTTTAGCTATTGGTGAACACCTCCCTTGCCGTAACGGCTTGTACACTTCACCAACGTCCGTTTGCTAGGAACAAATAGGGCACACACATTTCAACGTGTAGCTCCGGTGCTGTCGGAAGAGACGCGAGAGGCAACATGCGAAAATTTCATCCAGGCATTATCTGCACTAGCAGATGGCTTGGCGGCGATGGTGTCGTTCATGGCACGTAGTCTAGTGGTCATTTTTCACCGCATGCAAAAGAGGCCTTGCCTACAACAGGCAGACCAAGAGAGTATGACTCCGCGGTTGCCGCGCAACAAGTCTATGATTAAGATACATGTGCATATGTTGCCTTGGCATCTGGTCCTGCTGAAGGTCAAAGGGGCGGCCACCTCCCATACTCGTAGCCGTGGTGAAACAAAGTCCAAGTCCAGCACTGCCAATCCTCATGTTTTTTTCCATCTTCAAGTTTTCGTGTCCTGACATCACAGCAGCAGCGAATAGCGTCGCTGTGTTCTTTTACTCAACCCCAGTTTTGCTAGTTTCGGGAAAACGCCGCGGTATTCTCGAAAATTACGGTTTTTCCTATTGTGTTTCGGAATATTCTTCGGGAGGCCCGTGGTTCATCCACGGAACACTGGTCACCCGTGACCATCTCGTCTCTGATACCGCTGTTAGTGGTGTGAGGTTAACAAGCCGCTGAATGCATGGGACGGATTTTTTTTGTCTTCTCAAGAAAAACACGCAACAAGACTCTGCCGGCATGCAACACCAGCGAGGGCAGAAGCATTGGCAGCAGCACGAGCTTTGGCAACTAGCGGCACTGGTGGGCACCGCGCACATGACCTTTGTTTTGCTTGTTTTTCCTCTGCAAGCCAAGATCTCACCACAACCGCACACTAAACAGTCACGCCGGACCATCACCTCCATGTCCAAGAGACAACCACCCACCACCTTTCTCCCAAACAATGGGCACGGAAGTCAAGCGCCGACAACATCTAACTAACTGGAGTGGGAGGGACCTCGGGTCATGTTCTGCTCCCACGCTCCCGAAAACAACGCCTCCAAAAAAAAGACACAGAATTTGATTTGCTACGAACTTGAGCCTGAGCGACCCCACCGGTGATGATTCGCCGGTGCCCCCCGCGCCCGTCCCCTCCGCCGCCCGTGCTTATTTCGCATAGTTTTGTGAACAGTTGCTTGAACAGAATAAACGTGGTAGGGAGGTATGCATAAGATGCATGCGCCGCGGCGATAAACACCTAGGACGACGATAAATACGCACAACCCGCCGCCACCGCCGCCCCGGGGGCTCCGCAGACTTGTTGCCGTTCGTGCTGTCAAGTCTCCAACTCGAAACTATTCGGAATCTTTACTCGCCCAGAATTTCCACCATTGCGGCTTCGCCCAGAACCTCCATCGCCCCGGCCGGTTGCTGCGGGGGAGAAATAAAGGGCGGTACCGGCACAGCAGTCAGAGTACGCAGACCGGCCTCGGGGTGTCTCTCGTTGTTACGCATGTCTTCAGAGGCGAGGGGAAGGGGGATAGTATCTAACGTAGTTGTGAAAACCAATCTTGACTACATGGGTTGTAAATAACGTAGTTGTGTAACCCAATGTTGACTACATAGATAGGTTGTCGTGGGGCATTCTTGACTGGTTATGTACCTCCCAACTTTTCATCCTTCAAATTTTGATTATATTTTGCTCGCCTTCGAAACTGCCAACTTGTCAAGCAAGTGGTTCGCGTACAGCTGAAATTGCGTCGTGAGCAACATACACAAGCTTTACTACACTTAACATACTCCCGAGGGGAGACATGGCGGGGGAGCATCGTGGCAACCTCCCAAGAACGCGCACCTGTTGCTTTGTTCCAGAAGCTGCCCGGCTATGGCCTTGCACTCATGTGCGAACTCTTCGGCCTTGTCCGTGTACTCCATCCCCTCCGGCGTCACTTCCCCGTCAAGCAGCACCGAGTACGCAATTTCCACCTTGCTAGCACCACCTGAGGGAACGTTTCTGATTGGACGGCAACGGAGAACGGTAATGGACAGTTCAGAACAGGGAGGGACCATGGTTGAGCAGTTCACTTCATGGAGAAAAACTTTGGCGGTTCACTTCACCGAGATGACGGTTGACAGCACACGTGAAGGAGATGATGGGTCGGGGAGGGGGGGGGTACTCAAAGCGCTGCTTGGATTTTTCTCGGTCCTGGGAACCGACTCCTCTGTTGAGACGCCGGCTCCCCTGGAGAGTTCCTAGAACGTTCCCGGAACTAGAGGCGAATACGAAAATCACGTCGTTCGTCACTGTTTACACGCCAACTGGGAGAGGGTTCACACACTCGCTGCTGCTCTAGCCTCTTCGGCCTTACAACAGCACCGACCATGCACGCCCCCCTCGAGCACTAGAGCACCGTACTTGGCAACTCTTGCTCTGTCTCTCTGGCCCCATATAAACCAATGATAAGTCCTACAAATCAAGAGTCAAAATACATGTGTATAATTTCTCCATACAAGCAAAGGAGTTTGTTTTCATCGAGACTCTTTGTTGTTTGTTTTTTGGGAGAGTACACAACATGTGTAAAATAAACACGCCGCTCGACAGTCCCGTGACCTACCGTATAACGTCCGCAAGCAGCAAGCTCTTTTCCCCCTCGCCTATCCGCCCCATTTCCGCCAGCACCCTAACGGCGTCGACAGTCTTTCTCGTCAGGTCCCGCGAGCCCCTCAACGCGGCCTCCCCCTCCCCATCACCCCCGGTCTTGCCCTCGTCGCCACCGAAGCTCGACCAGCCCTTGTCGCCATCGTCGCTGTCGCTGGTGGCGGCGTCTTGCCACTCGTGCCACTCCTTGGCGGTCTCGGAGCCTCCTCCTCCTCCTCCTCCTCCTCCTCCTCCCTCCGCCACGACCTCCTTAAGCCCCTCGCTCACGTTGTAGATGTTCTCGTACCTCTGCCGGCTTGCGTCGCTGCGCTTCTTCTTCATTGTCGACTCCATCTGTTTGCCGCGGCGGCGGTGTGCGGCGGCGGCGGCGGTTCGTGGCGTACCAAACAAAAACCATTGTGTACAAAGAAATTTGTTTCTTACTGAAATACCGCTCATTTCGGCCTTCTCGAGGTACTCATGGGCCCTCCGGTGGTCATGCAACAAGAACGAAGCCTTCCAATGACGACAATCGTGTAGCCCATTTCGCATGTATATCGGCGAGCGTCGTATCGCGCCGTGTTCGCGTGCGCGAGCACCAACCCCCCGCGGCGAGGGTGGCTCGTGAGAGCGCCGACCAGAGACCAGCCGCGCCGCTGGAATGCTAAACCGCTACAACTGCTGTTGCAGTACGCCACACTGCAGCCATCGGGCCTCATGGTTTCGGCGTCAAGCATTAGCGAGGAACGACAACGTTGTGCAGGGTTGGAGTTCCAAAAGCATCGGCGTTCTTTACGCTTGCTCCACGCACTACGGCCGGGAACGACCGCGGACAGATGCGGTGTTTTCTTCTTCGAACGAATAATCGGTGGTTCTGGCGTCTCAAGCTATAATAAATAGTGACTGCAGCGCATCCATCCGTCCTATGAGCTATTGTAGCACGTCTTCGGATGGATATGTTGAACAACCGGCTGCGGGGACCGGGCGCTCCATCTACGGGATGAAACCACGATATTCATATCCAATTTCAAGTGAAATTGAAATCTTGTCGAAGTTCAGGGGAAATTACACACACACCGGCAAAGCAAGGCAAAAAGGTTCCAACAACCTATGGATAGAGATTCATGTATTGTGTTATATTACGGAAAAAAAGGGAGGAGGGGGTCACGACTCTCCAACGTCTGTCAAGCAAGATTTCCTCCTTCCTCCTCAAAGCCCGGCAGCTCACCGCTTCCTCGATGCGCTTCCGCATAGCCGGCGGAATGGTCTCGTCGATCGAGTCGCCGCCCATCGGCCCGGAGGCAGAGAAGCTTATCTCCCCCAGCGACGCCCCGTCTCCGCCGTCGAATAGGTCTCCGTAGTTCAGGAAGATCTGGCTGGCTATCTCTCTCCCGATGTCGTCTGTGATGTCCTCCTCCTCCTCCTCATCATCATCATCATCATCATCGTCATCAGACCCGTCCAAGTCGATGTCGATAGGTCTGCAGTGGAGCAACAACAAGGACGTCGGAGTAAAAATAGTGTTGTGCATCGAAGCATGGTCTATCCGCCAAGAGGATACGAAACCAAACACGCGCGGAAGAAACGCCAAACAAGTGCTAGATCACACGCCGAAAGTTTGAGTACAAAAGTGGGAATTCGCACTAACTTAGAGTAGGCAGAAATCTGACCGCACGGAGCACGAAAAGGTGCTGCCTTCGTCTCAACAGGCGATGTGCCGTCACCACCCAAGGATTACCGACCCAACACACCTACTCTGTCCTGCCCCGAGTCCCCCAAACGCAATTGTTTCCCTGATCAAACCCGGAGTAAACCATGACAGAGAGAGAGAAATGTGGATCAACGCGTTTCTCTCTACCGGTTACGCAAAACTGTTGCATCCCTCCCGACAACAACGCCCGCTTCTCTGGAAACCTGGCGAGAAACCCTGCCAGCCAAGCTCACCAAGAAACAACTCCAAGAACCAACCCACATATATCCCTCAGAATGATCTCGCCGAACCAGGCACCAACTCCCTCCACGCCCAACGGATCGCTAACTCCTTCCATCTCCCCGAACAAGAACGCATCCCAACAACCAAATCCGTTCATCTCTCCGCCCAACCAAGACCTAAACTCATTTAAAATTCTCCGTCTCCCACGCCAAAAACCACCGCGACCCAAGACTCCTCCCGTGTCTCCACGAGACCAAACCAAACTCACTTCATCTCCCCGTTAACCACGCTGAAGAGCTTCGCCGACACCTCCGTCACTCCCCCGGTCTTGTCCACGAAGTTCTGCAGGATCCCCCCGCCGCCCGGGAGCTCGCGAGCGCCCTTGAGAGCCTGCTTGGCGCTGCGGCCGCCCTTGCCGGCGATGATGTCACGGTCTGACGAGTGGTGTCGGGTGAGCCGCCACCCGTTGCTGGTCTTGCGGAACACGTTGGTGACCAGCTGCACCTGTTGCGTTAATGGGTAGGACGGTATTTTTTAGAGTTACTCTGCTGGTCTTGTGGAACACGATGGTCACCAGCTGTACCTGTTCCGCGTGTGTATTTCCAAGGTGTACGCGGGTGACTACAAGTTAAAATAATAGTATATTTTAGAAATTACTCTGGTGGTCTTGCGGAATACCTTGGTCACCAGCTGCACCTGTTGCGTGTGTGTATGTTAAAGGGTGTGGCTAGCAGGGAATACTCATATACTCTTGACTAATGGATTATAAATACTCGCCCCTCGGTGAGGCCTTTTGAGTTACAATAATACAAGCGGGACAATGCACCCTGTATCCGCTGTCACTCAATAAAAACCGGTTTGTATTATCGTCCCGCCGCGTGAGGAAAACGAGTTCGCTTTCCACTCACCGTCTTGGGGTAGGACTTGTATGGGCTCCTCATGTCCTCGATGCAGGTCACCCACGCAAGCGTGCCGCACGTCTGAACCTGAATATCCGACACGGAACATGAACATCCATCCGAAACGGAACACACATAAAAAACGGCGGAATAAAAAAAAAAAAAAACAGCTAAAAAGATAACCCCCACAAACTGTACATGCATGCATAAACTACAACTTCCCTTGTTGTCTGATCGACTTGCCCCTATCCGCCAACATACGCGAGGCACACACAATAGGTGCTACGTGGATTGGATTGGTCAGACAGGTGAAGCACGCCAACGACCCACTAAGGCGCCCCCCGGAACTGCTTCTCGACAGGATCAGGACTTTTGTCCCAGACCAGCGATTTGCGGAAATTGTGCAACATGGTTGCTTCTTGAAAAAAGAAAATTGCCGAGAGGTCGGTACACGCGCATTAGTTGCCATTTTGGTTTGGAGACATGAGACTGGGGTCTATTCTTGCACCATCCTGTCTGTCGGCCAAGTCTCCTGCTGCATCAATAATGGGAAATGGCAGCAGCAGGGTTCAGCGAGACGCTGGCTCAGACCGCACCACTTTCGGGTCTTGTCTTGAGGTCGACAGCACAGGCGCCTATCTGACACTGCTTCAACTAATGACTTCCGGGTTGTCAACTACCGAGCAGCAGCAGGGTTTAGCGAGACGCTGGCTCAGACCGCACCACTTTTCGGGCTTGTCTTGAGATCGATAGCACGAGCGCCTTTCTCACGCTGCATGAAAACTACGACCGAGCGATGTAGCAACGTCAAGACAAGGCATGTCTAGAAGACAAGGCATGTCCAGGAGACATGTACATACCTTCACGTTCTTGACCTTGAAGGGTCGTAGACCAGGCTTCTCCTGCTTCTGGGCCAGGACGAACTCTGTCTTGTACTCCTGCTCGAAAAATGCAGTACCGTTCGACACGAACGCGAGGGAAAGGCTTTGGAAATACTCCGCTCATGTGAAACGTTCGAAGCGACGTACGTAAATAGGACATCTCGCTCATGATCATAAGCAGGAACACGTGACATATAGGCTCTTGCATGCACTCACTGAAATCAAATACGCATCCAGCATGACCCGCGTAAGCGTGCGTCGTTAGATGACGGCAGCAAAAAACAAAAACAAAAAAACGCATAAATATACACATGCCAAGAATCACAAAGAACCAAGGCACAAGCAGAACTCACGACTCCATTTGAAGGCGAGAGTGGAGCGAAGTCAGTCGACAACAGAACAAGGCTGTTTACAACGTCTACGGCTAGGGCACCACACACGTACGGACACACATACATACCTCGATGATCTTGTCGTACCCCTTGAGGGGACTCCCTGCACTTCGAACACACTCCGAGAGGTCGCTCTTGTCCCACACTCTCTTCAGGTCCTCAATCTCCTGCGGTTACAACATTGAGTAAACGCACAAAGCCGTTTAGCCTAGTAGCGGGTATCGGGAATGCGACCGGGTGGCACTGTTTCCTGACGTCACGTCATAGATCTCGTGGCGTCGTGGGTTGCGAGCGATTCGTTCCAACGACAAATTTGGTGACGTCACTATTATTAATAGCACCCAACGACGATTACAACACCCAAAGACGATGGTTGATGATGTCGCGAAACATGAAAATTGGCGGAAAAGCTCAACATCGTACAACTTCCCTACGACAATCAGTGTCTGATGAGTCGTGCCCCCCCCCCCACTCCAAGCTAGCAACGGGGCAGCCTCAATGCTACCGCGACCCCCCGCACCAACAGCGCCCCCCTTGCAGGCAACCGTTCCACTTCCGTCAAAGCCAGCCCCATGGGCTCATCGCACTCTCTGCACGGGACGCCGGCGCCTTCTGTAGGAACGACCCTCAACATAAATCTAGTACCAAACCCTCGTGTGCAACAAGCGATTGTTGACATCCGCTGTCGGTGCTAAGAGCACATAACGATGACACGCGGCTGTGACACAGCAGTAAAGATGAAGACGACAACAACACCGGGCACAGCAACAATGTCAGCCATCAACGAACCAAAGCATCACTGATCATCATCAGGTTGACTACAAATATCTGTGGGTAGGTTTCCTGTAGGTTTCCTGCGACCATGGAAGGCGTCCACGCCAGTTGGACCGGTGCGGACGTTAAAGGGATTTCCAAGCAGAGACCGGAACGGTTTTCTAATGTGGAGACAACACCCGCGCCAGCAAGCAAACGTACCGTTTGGTGCACCATCGACGCAAAACTCGCCCCGCACGAGCCCACACACATCAATACATTCCATTACCACCTCTACCACGACTACAGACACGTGTCTACAACGCTGGACACAAAAAAATTCCATGATAAACGCTTACCACCGCAAAAGACGCATGTCTACTACGCTGCTTACATTGTACGCCCGTGACCGGTAAACCAGTGTGTTCATGGCAAGCACCCTCTCCTCCTCCCGTTTCTCCCTGGGCATGAGCTCGTCCCGCAGGGCATCCCCCCGAAGCCGCGGAGCCCCCGTTTTGGAGGATTTTCCGCCGTTTTTTTTTTTCTTTTTTTTTTTCCCTTTTTCGCCGGTTTTCTTTTCGGGAGACGCTTTTGGGGGGGGGGGGGGGGGGGGAGGGGTGCTCATGTTTTGAATGCCTCATTTGTTAGACCGTTGACCAGAGGACGGAGCATTGCTCCCACAGGACCGACCACCCATGGCCGATCGTTCATTTATACGTTGCCAAATGGCTCACAAACATCATCACTATTTTATCTACCGATCAGAGGGGGGGGGGGGATCAGAAGCAAGTCGGTGGTGTCGGCGTTACTCGTTCGACCAAACAAAACAAGGGCGAGAGAGGGCGAGGGGCAACACGAAACACGAGCGCCGCGTGACGTCATGTTTTCGGTCTGCCCCCTACATTGACATCCCGTACACTCTCCTTCCCGCCACCGGAAAGTGTACCCATCCTATCTCGTTGGAAATAGTACCTATCCCATATTGTTGAAACGTGGGTGATGCTATTTTTGGCTCTGGGATAGGCATTTTGACGGCGCAAAGAAGCGCCATCCCTCTCACAAGATATATTATCCCGAGAAAATAAGCCGCACCTTAAAAAACAAAGGACCCTAGTGACACGGGTCTATCGTGTTTAACCAACATTCTTTGCATATACTATGGACTCCGTACGTGTGGCAAGCCGTGGGCAACACCCGTCTCGCACGAAAAAATACAAAAGTCGGCCTGAATCGGACATCAGATTTTGCATCAGACGACCGGAAATCTACCAGAAAAATGTATACGCAGGCTTGATGGGTGTCATCCAATATCAATTAGTGGTGGGGGGCAGGGATGACCAAAACCAGGAGCGGCGGGGATGCGTGAGCGCTTCGCGCACACCACGGTGCCCCCTCTCTCTTGTTGTCATACAAGAAAACATCCTCCCGTTCTTGTGATGTACAAGTACAATACTGTATCCCCCCTTTCGCGCGATAAAATCACGACTTCTTCGTGTGCTACAGTGTACGAGATCATCCATCCTGTACTGCGGCAGTGTGGCTTCTTGGGTGTTGGGCGTGGGAGGTGCTGCAATATATAAACACAATGAAAGCGATGGCGCCGCCGTTGCGTGAGAACGGGTGCATTAATTGCCTGACGTAACGTCAGACCCATTTTCTTAGTGTCCCTCAGGGTCCACTCGTTCGGTTCGCGGGAAGAGTTGCCCCGATGCTTGTCTAAGTTTGGGGGACGGGACGTCTGCTTGTTGCGTGTGTTTGACATTTATAGTGGCTGCCGGCTGCTATATTTTGAGAGAAACGAGCGCGAGAACATTCGATCAGCAGCCGACACGGGGCGTACGCAGCACGGGGGCAGAATCGGCAGCGTGTATCTTCTTGGCGTGACTACATTACTGAACATTACCTAAAAATAACCAGGTCCGTTTGACGTGCTTCTTTCGAATGCAAACAGAGATTCAGAGACAGAACAGCAAATTGGGCACCGTTTAAGAAAACAAGACCGTGCGCCATCTCTCAGCGTCCACGCATGGGCTGCCAGCGAGGATAAATGATGTAGGGTGTGGGAGTGAACAATAACGAAAAGTGCTGCTTCCGCGCGACAAGGTCTTCTCGGTGAACAGCAGTAGACAGCAGCTGGAAAACAGCAAACTGTTTCTTCAAACAGCTTGCACAGCCAACTACCAGCCAGATTGTAGCTGCTCGAAGGTTGTATCAAGTAGTGGGGATGATATGCCGCGAGGTCGCGACGTTGAACTGTCAAAATCTCTCGGCAGGACTTTGGTCTGTCGATAACGCGGCCGGATGCTTGGGCTGAAAGTAGAGAGGTAGGCAACGTAGTTGCAGCGACTGAGCACAGCAGCTGTGCGTGGACACAGCAGCCGCGGTGAGTGGGCACAGCAGCTGTAGTGAGTGCACGAGTTCGTGATCGGTTTCGTGTTGGACCTCCTCCATCTCCATCTTTACTCCTACCGAAATGCATGTACTTCGCAAGAATTATCACTAAGGCAAGACACGGTGGGAACCTCAACATCAGATGTAGAATGACGGCATAAGCCAATGCGGCCGCTTCACACAACCCACGTGGTCCATGTCCGACCTCTTGGCCTTCAGAGGGAGGGAGTCCCAAAACATGCCAGACGTACCAAGCGCGGGCACCCTTTGTCTCAACAGACAAAGAACATGGACACTTCGCTTGACGTTTTACGTCAGTAACCCCGGCTGGTTTCTCAACACCTTCTATCCGACAGGTGTGCAGACTGCCGCCCAGAATAGGTGGGACGAAGACACAAAAACAAGCAGCAGTTCCCGGTGGCGTGTGTACCAGTGTAGCAGTACCGACAACGCATCATGAAGGCGTCTGCTCTTGTTTTGTTGTTTGTTGTTTCGCACGCAAAATAAAAAAACTCAGTTCAAGCCTACTCTGTGGACAGTACTCTGCACAACCCCGCGAGCAGGGAGGAGTGTTTCGAATGGACCTGCCCTCTCAGCGAAATATAGCAAATGCAAACGTACACCGCTTCCCTCAACTGAGATGCATGTACCCTCTCAGTTGCAGTAAATTCGACGCACATGTAGACGACGGCGGTGCCAGGTGTGTCGTGAACATGTTCTTGAGAAAAACCATCATTCGTCGACGCTTGAGTGCTGCCGCCAAAACTGCAACTCAAACGCAGGAGCGGCGCGCTAGCCACCTACACACGGCACGGCAAACCCAAATCTTCGCACCTTTTCGCCACGGCAGCACCGTGGTCTTGCTCTCCTCCCTCGCGACCCTCCTCGCCCGAAGCTGCCGCTGCTGCAGGTGGAGACACAGGGGACCGACTAATCACTCCTTCAACAACCCCTTCCCCCTCGGCCAGAGCTCCGCCTTCCCCCCCGTCGTCGCCCTCAGCCCCCGCCATTACCAGCGCGCTTCCCCTCCCGCTCCTACTGCCGCGGCGGCTGGACAGCGCCGCCGGCGCCGGCGCTGCTGCACACCGGCGTGATGACAGTCGCGTGCTGCACGCGAACGCTGCTGCCGACGTCGCGACACCCCCGCCGCCGCCGCCGTGTTGTCGATCATGCCCGCCGCCGCCGCCGCCGCCGCCGCGCGCAGCAGCGGCGAGCGCTGCTGGTGGCAACGCCAGGAATGCATCGGAGCGAGGCGCGGAGGCCAGGAGCGCGCTGGTGAACGCCGAGAGGATGGTCACGCCTCGAGGCACTGGTCGTGGCCGCCGCTGGTGCTGCTGTTGCCTCGACGACGAGGAGGGCGTCATATTATTTGCTTTGCGGGGCCAGCAGCCGTAAAGGTGGCGCTTTGTTGACGTCACCACCACCCTACAGGCTTTCCCTTTCCTCCACAACGATCTAAGGTTACACAAGGCCCCGGAGCTCTCCTATGCCCTTGCGCGCGTCACCGGACGTAGCTCTGTCTGTACAATGTCTGTGCCCGATGGATGTGGCTAGTGGCTAAAAGCAATGGACTGGGGCCACGCAACTGGGATACACCGAAACTGTACTAGTTAGGGGGGCTCCGTGATTGCGTGTGGAATCAAAGCGGAAGAGAGGCGGATCATCACCAGGAGCGAGAGCGTCACTAATCATCCTACACACAAGCTGGCTGGTTTGTACGTGTACCGTTCCTCACGGCCACCTCTACTGCGTCATGGCATCGCTGGGGGGGCGTCCATGGGGCAAGGGCGTGAAGGGTCCGGTGGCGGTGGCTGTGGTGGTCTTAGCGGTTGCTGTATGGAAGGTGAGTGCACGCGGGAATTCTCGTCAAGGCAGAGAGACAGACACAAACGATCTATAGTCGGGTGATTTGTTGTCCCCGTCTGTGTTTGCGAATGCGTAGGCGTCGTGCCACCGCGGGCAGAGAGCCCTGCCGTCGATGTATCTCACGGAAGACATCCCTGTGATGGCAAGGGGTCGTTCTATCTGTGCGCTGCCCGCGTTGATGGGGGTGGTCAGGACCCATGCTACTACTGTAGTCTATGTATCGACGTTGGTTGGTGCCCTTTCGGACTCTTGTGAATTGTCGGCAAATGTGTCTCAGCTACCAGACAAAGAGGGGCTCGGGTCGCCTCTGGTGCCCACTCCTGAGGTCTTGAGGAGGAGGGAGGAGGGAAGTGTCTGTATATGACGTCGTCGCCGTACACGCGAATGTTCCGATTGTTTTTTGTGTCTGCCGAACGAGAGAGTGTTTTTACATGTCCCGGGAATCAGGCAGCGTTTTGTTATTAGGACGCTACAACACAGGACGGGCGAAGCACAGCAGAGGAAGACATTTCCATTTCCCTTCCACACCTACAAGTACAATCTCAATATCCAATATCAAAAGAGCAAATGTAAATGATTGGTAGTATTTAAGGCCGCAGCAAGATACAACGGCGGTGCGATCTGCCTTGCCACAGCCACATGTTCAACGCGATTCTTTTAATTCTTAGCCATGTATGCAGTATAATATTATAGTACCTTGCTGAGTGAGTATGCTTGTCTTTCATTACAGCAGTATTTGTAGGGGTCCCCGAAAAATGCGGCGTCAGCTGACAATGACCGCTTTAGGGACAGCCGCGTTGACATCAAATTGTCGAACTTGATTATTCAGTCAATGCCAGGCAATTGCACCCGCTTACAAAACACCGATTTTTAATGGAGCATAAGAGTTGCGAGAAAAATTCGAGTATTTTTTGGTCGGGAACTTGCGTCGAAAACACCCTCACTATTGTACGGGCGCAGAAACTGTTCTTCACGGGACTGGTGGAAGGCCGAGGCTTGATCATTTTTTATTTTTGGAGCAACCGGCAATGGCGAGAAGCAGGCACACCTCCTTCATACCACACCGCGAAGCCGCCACAGCGTGCAACACAAGCTTGGAAATGGAAACCGAGATGGTGGCACAAAACCTGGCGTTTGTTGTGCCTTCCAATCGAAAGCCAGGAAGACCTGAATTATGCTCAACCCAACACATCTTATTTGACGCAGACTCTACGAATACTACACAGCTGCGGCCATCGCTGGAAATTCCAACTCGGCGTGCAAATATTCTGACTTGGCCCTTCAACTATGGTGTGGATAGTGCGCGCGTGTGTGGCGGGAGAGAGTCTACGTGCGTGGTAGGGGAAGGTGCTTGACGTGGATTGGCGGAAGTCTCGCCGCGCAACTTTTGTTCGACGCTTTCGTCGCTCGGGAAAAAAAAGTTTGCAAACTCTTGCTCCAGATGCGCGAGTATTTTCACGAGTAAAAATTTCCAATATCTTGGCGCAACTTTTTTGCTTCCACAGAGAGTACATGAGGCAAGTTCCGAGCAAAGTTTAACTGCATTTTCTCGCAACTTCAGACCGCCGTATTGGGGGACCCCCACTGCTGTGTTAGCATCGACGCGCTAACCAATGAAAATACATCAGCCTCAATGCGACTGACAACAGCATAGCCGCCACCTTCGCGGTTGGTTTGTGCTTTTCAAGCGGGGTAGACAGGCTGCCCATGTGGTTTGGCCACCTCCTAACAGCAATGTGGCAATTGGCAAACGGCGGACCTTTACAGTTGTTGAGCCGTGCATTGCAGAGTTTCGTTTCCGTTTTTGCAGATCTTCCGTTACGACACGGGTATTTGAGTTCGGATTCGGGCAGAGGACTCTTGTACTCTCCGCAGCACGACGAGCCACAGCCTTACGATATCCCCAACGACAATCTGAATTGGGCTTGTCCTACTGGAAGGACTAGCTTCGCTGTCGGCATCCGCGCCGCGGCAATCCCAAGCCGTGCGTCAGTTTCCGCTGATGCCATCTTCTCCAGACATATTGTGGTGTAGTGTCATCAAGGCTTGATGCAAGATGAAAGAATAGCATGTGTTCGGGTGAAGCATTCGCCAGCTGCCATCAGGGACGTTTCCCAAGCTCGAAATACAGCTGACGTGTTTTTAACTCGAACAGCCCAGCGAACCTCAACGAACTAACAAGAATAAACTACAAATTTGTGTGCGTACATGATCTCGCAATAGCTTACGAGTACGGCACCTCACGGTCGGGCTGGAACGCGAACACATTCGTACGCGACGAGCGCCGCTCGATCGATCACGATCGATCTTCACACCCCAACAAGCAAGGGTGATATGGTGTAGGTCTCACACAAAAGCCTGCCCGTTGCAGCAGACTCGCCGCACGCTCTGCTCGTTTGGGAAAGACCAGCACAAGGCGCCCTTCTGTCTCATCTCTGGTGCTCCTCGGCTGTGTTCTGATTGGCCAAGAGGGGTTTCTTCTTTCTCACCTCACAACACTCAGATTTTAACGTCTCTTCAATATTCTGCGAAGCATAGGGGCCCCACCGGCGGGGACCTGTTTTAGTCTGGGTACCCTATGCTTGGACCCTCGCTTGCGAACCCCCCGCCCAAGCCATGATCATACCAAATCGGTAGTACGTATGCATAGCACATTGAGAGAGCACCTAGCTCAAGGTATACGTGACACGTCGCCCCCAAACTGTAGCACGCGATGTGATGCGTATGATAAGGAAAATTATACATAGCCTGCCGAATTCGTACGTACAGGAGTGCCGAAAACGCTGTAGCTTTGTCAAGCCCCACAAAGTGCGATGCCAGCTGTTATGCTTTCGGAACAGGCGTCAACGTACATGACCCAACAAGGCTATGACCCCCCCCCCCGCCCCCGCCCCTGTGCACGCTCGATGTATCATCGATTTCCGCGCGGACTTGCAAGACATCCAACCAGAAAGAGAAAGTCGACCTTGGGGATGACGGGGACCGCTCACTGCCGCCATCCGGCATTGGCAGCAGCAGCGGCGGCGCCAGCAGCAGCACCTGCGACTGCGATTGCCACAACAAGGGCTCCAGCCGTAAGCGACGAAGCAACAACAGCCACGCTGAGCAGACGCCGAAATCGAACGGAGGGAACAGCGGGGGCGGCGGCGGGAGTGGAAGGGCCAGCGGCAGCAGCAACAACAGCAGCAGCAGCAATACCAACGGCAAGCGGCCGAGGCGATGCTGCAGCTGCCCGGCGGCCATCGCCCGCACCGCCGCCGCGACGGCTCTAGGGCGGCGGTCCGCCGGCGGCGGTGGCGGGATCAAGAGCGCCGCTCTTGCCGGCACCCCCGGGAGAGGCAGACACGATCGCCGCCTCGAGCCGAACAGCAACAGCAGCAACAAGAGGCGCTTGAAGCGTGAAGGGTCGAGCTCCAGCGACAAGGGGGCGACGGCGTATTCCTCCTCAGCGTCGGGGGGGGCAGGGGGGGTTGCGGCCAGGCAGAGCTCGGCTGGAGCGGGCGGGGCCAAGGCGGCCGCCGCGAAGGCGGCGGCCGAAGGCGCTACCATAGAGTCGCCGGTGGCGCTGCGGTACATGTGCCTGCTTCCCGGGATTGTGCTGAGGTCGGGCTTGGTTTTCCAGAGGGTGACGGCGTTGTCGATGCCCGGGCAGGGGATCGGAGACGGCGACGTCCCGGCTTCGGTGGTGAGGCTGGCCGGGGTGCTGAGGAAGGTGGACCTGAGCGGCAACCGGCTGACCGCCGTGCCGCCCGGGCTGTTGGGGCTGGGAGCCGGGCTGGAGGACCTCAACCTCGGCAACAACGACATCGCGGAGATGCCGCCAGAGATCGCCAAGCTCGGCGGGCTTCTCTTCTTTAACATGGCCGGGAACCGCCTGACCAGGCTCCCCGCTGAGATCGGGCGTCTGTCGTCGCTGAAGCGGCTGGGCCTCAAGGGCAACGCGCTCGTGCGCCTCCCCTCCTCCATCGGCGACCTCACGCACCTTGTGGAGCTCTACCTGACGGGCAACATCCTCGAGGCCCTGCCGGACGAGATCGTCAAGCTGCGCCGGCTCAAGAAACTCCAGCTGTCGTTTAACAACCTCCGCTCCTTGCCGCAGGGGATGGAGGCCATGCGCAGCCTCGAGCTCTGCCGGCTCGCCGTTAACCCGGGGCTGACGGTGGTGCCGGAGGGGCTGACTTACGCCGAGAAGTTGGCGTGGGTTTCATTGGCGGGGTCTGCCTGGTGTGCCCGGGCCTCGGAAAAACGCCGCAGGTGTGAATGCCTCATGATCCAGGTACATACCACAAGCTTGCCCATGTCGGTAGGCTTAGACACTTACCTGTTCCTCGTCAGTAGGTTCGGACTCTTTTAGAAGAAAACCTCTCTGTTAACATCGCAGGGCTTCACTTTCGTACGGCAAGTCAGCTGTCGTTTTGTTTTGTTTTTTCAACTATGCTGAACTCGGCTGTTTTTTTTTTTTCAAGCATGCTATATTGTAAGAGAGGCTTGGCCTGCCCCATTTTGATTCGATAGTACTCCGTTGGGAGGATTGTGTTCAAGTCTTGTACATACAGAGAGGAACCTGATGGGGTACTGGACTCAAATCATGTCTTGGCTACTGAGATGGTCTTTTTGGATGCGGGATGAAGAGAATGAATGAGAGGCGGGGCGTCTCGCGCTACCCCAGACACGATGGCCGTACCGTAATGCTTTTTGGGTGGTACGTCAAGCCCGTCGTTTTCGAGGAGGTACGCGCCGCAGGAGCGCTGACTACAGCCACCTGCTGAAAGGAGATCGAAGGCTTCCTTGAAGCCCTGTGTACCGAATGCCGTGGTTCAGCGGTGCAGCCGGCATAACACTGACACGTGGCGGTAATATTTACCGAGGCGGCTGGCTTGCCGTTGTCACTATACATGTCTCGGTTTATCTCTTTTTGGGTGGCGAATTCACTGAGTTTTCCCGACATGTCAGCGAGACGGGCGGTTTTCCCGTGCATTGTCTCTCTCTCTCTATCAAAAGTATCGACTTGGTTGCCCTGTATGACGGGCTGTGGGTTCCAGTGTTCTCTCCCCTGAGAAGTGCAGTACAGCAGTGTTCCTTTTGCTGACAGTCGTCGTGGAGGCGCTCATTCTTACTCGAAGCAGCGTCTTGACCGCCACCACCGAATCTACGTAGAATCTATCCATATATCCCGGTTGAGTGGTGCCTCTTGATCGGAATCTATGTATCCCGGTTAAGTGGTGAAACCCCGTTCGAGGCGTTATGACTCTTCTCTCCCCTGGTGGTTGTGTGTCTCCCGTGTGATTTCAAATGAAAGAGATTGTGTTTAACCCGAATGGCGTACCGTTCTAGAGGCTGAGGTTTGGTGTCCCCCGAGCCCGCCACAGTTCGGCGGTGCTCGAACACACTCCTCATACCAGTGGTCTTGCTTGTAGAGCAGTACAGCAGTGTTGCGCTTGCCGTCGAATTATGGTCGCTTCTCTCTCCTCTGCATTCTGGAATTGAAACGTGGCGACGGCTTGGTGGATGACACGATGCCGCCAGATCAGAACCGTCTCTGTGACGAACAGGGAGGGAACCCGCCTTACCGCACGTACGTATACAACGCTGGGAATGAGTTCTGGCCAGTCTTGAAATGCGGCAACTCATCCACAATCGTGATCGACTTCCCTTCCCCTCCCTTGCGCGATCTGTGCCTGGTCCCGAAAACAACGAAAAAAGAACTTCCTTCCCCGAGATTCCGCGAGAAGAAGTGGTTCTTGGAGAGCGGCTTGGGAGCGGTGCGTCAGGGGAGGTGTTTGCTGGAGTGTACAGAGGGAGGGACGTTGCAGTAAAGGTGAGGAGCAGCGGGGAACCCTTCCTGTTTGGGGTGGGGTAACCGTTATCACGATGTGGGTGGGTGTGCCGGTCCTTTCTCGCGAACTTCGGGCTCTACGAGAACCCACGATACGTAGGCCGACGAACGGCCGACTGTCCTCCACATAGAGAGCGCCCCCCAGCCACCCTGTAGAGGCTAGGACCAACTGTCTTGCTTCTCGAAGCAAACCTGGTCGACAAAGCGAGGACCTTTTCAAGGGCTTAAGCCAGTTGTTGAGCATGTTGGCCACAGACAATAACACCTCGTCGGTACTTTTTTATTCGTTTATTTCTTTTTTGAAGGTTTTCAAGGCAGACATCGGTCCCGACGGCAACGCTCGCGACGAGCTGGACGTGGCCCTCACTGTCGACCACCCTAACCTCACAAAGTCGCTGGGGGTAGTCCACGCCTCCAGCACCAAGCCCTCGGGTCGCAGCAGCAGCGGATCAGAATCGGAGGTTGCAACCGCCGCCGCCGCCGCCGCCGCCGCCGCCGCCGCCGGTGGAGTTCCCGAAGGTGCAGTTGGCGGCGGCGGCGGCGGCGGGAGTGACGGGATTGAGAATCTGCGGTGGCTGGTGATGGAGAGGGTGGTGGGAAGGCCGCTGGCGGAGAAGCCGGACTTCAGCAGCGTGCTTCGGTGTCGGTGGGGATCCGGCAGAAGGTTCGAGCCCGTCTTGGTGCTGGCGGTGCTCCTGCAGGTGTGTTTTTTTTCTGCGCATCGACCGCGCTAACCGGCGAACCACAGTGTGCGTGATTTTGTTCTCGTTAGCATCGACCGCGCTAACCGGCGGACCAATGAAAGGACGTCAGTCCCGGTGCGGTTGAAAGCCCAAAATGCTTCTAAAGGCTACCATGATCTGGGACCCCGTGGGTGGGGTGCGTGTGTTCATATTGCTTGTTATGATTTGCGCCGACCGCGCTCCCAGGCTGACCAATGTGTCTCCGACGATTTATCGCAACGATGTGCCATTGCTCTTCGCTCGTCTTGTTTTTTTTTTGGGGGGGGGGATATGCCGTCAGTAGTGTTGCTGTGCTGTTGTACCCTCTGCTGTTACGGAGAAGGAGGTGGTGCAATGCGGGTGCGTGATCGAAGCGCTTCCTGCCGTCCTTGGTGCTGTCGGTTGTTTTTGGCCCTTATACCGCTTGCTCACAAGTGCGGGGTGCGTGGACAGCAGCACACGTTTTCACGCCCCGAACGGTCCGCTCCGCACCATCCGCGTTTGTCTCTCTGTCCCTCTGTCTCTCTTTGTGTTTTTGTCTGTCCCTCTCTGTCTCGCTCCCTCCCTCTCCTCTGTCTCTCTCTCTCTGTCTGTCTGTCTGTCTGTCTCTCTCTCTCTCCGGTCTGCGTTCTACACTACACGTGTGTGTGGGACATGAAAACGAAAAAAGGTGGCGAGGGCCATGTCCTACCTCCACGAGAAGGCCATCTGCCACGGCGATCTCTACGCCCACAACGTCCTAGTGGACGGAGAGACCGGCGCTGCCGTCCTTTGCGACTTCGGCGCCAGCTTCTTCTACCCCACGGACCGACAGCACGACTGCTCCATGCTGGAAGGGACCGAGGTCCGCGCCTTCGGGCTCATGTCGAAGGACATGGCCTGCCGCAGCGCCGGGTGCGAGTGGATTCTTCAGGTATGCACAGGCGCGGGGCGGTCTGAATTCGGCGGTCGCCTTATATATGGCGGGTGCAATTGGCGGGCATAGATGTACTAAAGTTGTTGCGCTACACATTGACTAGGGTGGCTCCCCCATATCAGGCGGTCACGATCAGCTTCCCCCACCACTGCCTTGTCCGGGGACCCCCACTGCATGTGTGACTGCTACGTAGTTCACGTGAGGGAGGGAAGAAAAGTCAGACTTACCTTTTCACTCCTTTGTGGGTCTGTCTTGTATCTTGTGGTTGCTACATAGTTCGCTTGAGGGGAGAGGGTTTCGGTTGATCGTGTTTTCGTTTTCGTCCTTGTAGATAGTAGTGTGAAAAGAGGGAATCGTCCTCGACAGACTTTGGGGAGATAATAACCGTTTGTGAAGGGGATAGGCGAGGCAGCACCGAGAGGGGTGGGGCGAGGAAGCATAAGAAGACACTCCTGTAATGCGACTTTAGCGAAAAACACATAAGCTTGGGATCGGTCCGTTGGCAGGCTAGTGAACCTTTTCTTTTTCCGCTGGAGCTCGACAACACCCAGCAAGCTTCGCCCGCGTCCAGCTCCAAGTACCTTTCTGCCGAGGAACTTAGCCCGTGCTTGGCTTCGGGGTTCCCCTCATCGCGGCGTCTGCCACCTCCTGCCCTCCGCCCTCTCTGCTGATAATTTCTGCGTGGCCCCTTCTTCAGGACTTGGTCCCGTCCTGCCTTCAGTCGGACGCCAGCCACCGCCCGTCTTTCCACGAGGTATGATGAGACACCATGTTTGCGATAAAACAACAATATGTTTGGGATAGAAGACTCAGACAAAATGTTTGCAATAATCAACACGTTTGGGATGTGAGACAGCATGCATGGTAGATAAATTGTTGGCGGATGGTTCAACACGTTTGGGATATACGGGAACACTCGATTTTCCGCAACCCTCACCGCAAAGACGTTGGACACATCCCTTCTTTCGAATGGGACGTTGTCTGGAACGGGACACATACACGTACTTGTTTGATGCCATTTGTATATGAACGCAAGGTTCCTCGTCTTGTGGCTGCTGCGGGTTTGGCCTCGAGACCCGTCGGCAGTGTTGTCTTTTCATTGCACGGCGGTGAGTAGAAGCCGTATGCCACGCGGCCCGTGATGGTGGTCGGGCGGGTGGCTGACTACCTCCCGCTTCCCACGGGTACTTCGAAGCCTTCTCGTTATCGCAGGACGGACGGCAAATGTCGGACGGCACCCTCCGCCCGGTGTACCCGTTGGGATGTGGCTGCCTGGTCGTGCCACTTACCAAACACCTCTCTCGGCTAGTCCACTCCACTTTGGTAGCTGTTATGCCGCCTTTCGTGTCCAAGCTTGAGCCCTGACTCAAGTTTATTGACGCGAAGGCCTAAAGCGGCGGGAAACCTTGAAGCGATAGAACCCCCCCCCCCCCCCCCCCCCTCC